TGATGACATGTACCCTGTAGCAAATTGGAAATAATAATGATGATGATGATGATAAATAAGGTTAAATAATTCTTTTTTAAGAATTATTTTAGGGGTCAGCAGGTGGTTATGGTGGTTGAAGACACTGGACTCCCACACGGCCGACATTATTTTAACCTTATTTATTATTATTTAACTTGACCAGAGAGAGGGAAATTGAGAAAGCAAGCCGCCAGGTCCAAGACTCGAATTGCAGTCAGACATGTGGGAGTCCAGCATTTTTTCTGGGGGGGTGTTGGGGGGAAGACGTATTTGCTATAGGGTGCATGCACTCACCAGAAAGACAGAGAGAGACAGAAAGCAAAAAATCACCCCCCAGGGGGTTGGCGACACAGCAATCCCTTCTCCTCTATTCTCCTCTCAGGATCTTAGGCATGCATGTACACATGCCTGGTGTGAGTTTAAGCCACCAGGTCCAGGACGTGAAGTGTGGTCCACTACATGGGAGTCCAGTGACATAGTCATTACGTTAATTGCTGGTTCCCAGGAGTCCAGTACCTTTAACCACCATACCACCTGCCCCTTTAACCACCATACCACCTTCCAGCCCTACATAGGGTCGCTTCTAATGTGTCTTTTTTTTTTTCCCTTTTGAAGCAGACATACTCCATCATCCCTATTCATCTTGCTGCAGAATTCCGCAAAGCACAAAGTTTGCTTTGTTTGTTAGAATACGGTGCTGACCCAGAAGTAAGGTAAGTTAACCATCAGGCAATCATTCCCAAATGACAATAAACATGATTTAGATGTTACTTTATGAACAAGTTATATCTGACTTGTTCATTCTTCACAAGAAATGAACTACAAATTATGTTTTGTTCAAATAAACTGATTTCCTTACTACCTAGATGAGATCATCTGAAAAACTGAAAATAATGCAAGAACACAAACCAGTCCGTCAAATTAATGCACACTAAGTATTAAGTACTCGATATTGGTGCTGAGGGAAATGCATTAAACCCTAACCATAGTCCTGGAGAAGTTTAGTAACCTAAGTTAGGTATGAATAAGGAAATATTAGGACCAGCAGATGGCGTTAATGGTTATGTTGCTGGACTCCCATGTAGTCAAAAGCAATTCGAATCCTGGACCCAGTGGCTTAAAACTCACACCAGGGACATGTGCATGTGTGCCCAAAATCCCAAGAGAAGAATGGGAAGGGATTGTGGCATGGTCATCCCTCCTGAGGTGTGATTTCTCTCCCTCTGTCTCTCTGGTGAGTGTATGCACCCTATAGCAAAAAGCTCTCTTAAAAAAAAAGAAAAGAAATCATCAATAGACAATGGATTTTCTTATTACCTGCCACTAAAAGGCAAACTTCATGAAAGATGTTTATCTTACTTACCACTATATCTCTATCACCTAAACCAAATGCCCAACACAATAATTATTGTCTGAATGAACAGAAGAATTACACGGTATAAAAATAACAGAACTTCTTGCCTCAAATCCCTATCATATCATTTCCATATGTCTTGCTCTCGGCTTCTCCTCATATACTCAACCTTAGCTTGGTAAGTCCTCTCAAAGTCTTTCCAC